AGAAAAATGACAGAATGAAGCCTGTAAAACACAATATTGTAAAAAAAAAACCAGGGACATACATTGAAACAAAAAGAGACATTGGTATTGTTTTATCAAATATGTGTGATAATTATTTAAGTAAAGCTAGTATTGTAGCTCAAAGAAATAAATCATTTTGCTTCTGCGATATTTAAATTGAGAAGGATAGAAAGGTTCTTTGGTAGATACCCTACCTTTCTCTTTTCTGTCAAGCTGAAACTCACTCATAACTAACTGACCCACCATGGGATTTTCAGAGGCTCTAAGTGTCACAGGAAGAGATTGCCCATCTTTCTTCCATGGGGCAGCTGGTATATTGGATCCTTCTGCCTATGGCTGACTCTGAGAAGAATGGGAATCCCACAACACTTGATCGTTCTAATGTGAAACCTATACTTGGACCAGGAGGCAGTCATCAGAACAGAGCAAGGGAACACTGCGTGGTTCAAAATTGGGAAGGGCGTACTCCAGGGATGCATCCTATCTCCATACCTTTTCAATCTATATGCAAAACAGATTATCCGGGAGCCTGGGCTCCATGAGGAGAAATGTGGGGTCAAGATTGGTGGACGATTTATCAACAGTCTGCGTTATGCGGATGACACAACCCTGCTTGCTGAAACTGAGGAGGACCTGAAGTGCCTGCTGCAGAGTGTCAAGGCCTGCAGCCTCCAACATGGATTGAGGCTCAATGTCAAGAAGACAAAGATTCTCACCACAGGACCAATTGGCAGCATCAGGATGGATGGTGAAGAGATTGAGATTGTACACAGCTTTAGTTTGCTTGGCTCCATAGTCAACAGTCTTGGCACCAGCAGCCAGGAAATTAAAAGGCGCATTACAATGGGAAAGTCTGCTCTTAGGGACCTCTTCAAAGTGCTGAAGAGCAATGGTGTCTCTTTGGAGACTAAGGTGCGTCTGATACAGGCCATGATCTTCGCAATCACCTGCTATGCATCAGAGAGTTGGACAATGACCAAGGAGGATAGAAGGAGAATTGATGCCTTTGAGCTGTGGTGCTGGAGAAGAATATTGAGAATACCATGGACTGCTAGGAAAACAAACAGATTTGTCCTGGAAAGGGTTAAACCGGGTGGCTCCTTAGAGGCAAGGATTCTGAGGCTCCGTCTAACATACTTTGGACATGTTGTGAGGAGAGACCGGTCCTTGGAGAGGGACATCATGCTTGGGAGGGTGGAGGGACAGCGCAGGAGAGGAAGGCCCTCTACGAGGTGGATTGATTCAGTGATTGGTTTAATTGGGATGGGAGTGTCGGAGACAGTGCGATTGGCACAGGACAAAGCAGAGTTTAGGGCTGTTGTACATAGGGTCGCTATGAGTCGCAGACGACTCGACGGCACATAACAACAACAACAAACAAAGCCTTTGGGTTGACAATACAATGCTTTATCCGTTAGGCCACCAGAGTCCTCTGTATACCACAACAGCAACAACAACAACAACGTTATAAAAATAATTGGATTTTGACAAATTAAAGTACCAGTTTAAGTTCTACGAATATTTGATAATTCAACTTGATAGTTTGGTTGAGAAAATGTTGCCTCAGTAGCTTCACTTCACTCAAGAGAAATTCATGGAATTATAACATATACATCTCTTTACCTAACCTATATTTTACTGTTTCTTATTCCATCTCTATTGTACTGTTTCACCTTGTCTACTAGATAAGACAGAACTATACACTTTTTTTTAAATTTTGTCTTGTGGTCCAATGTTTGAATTTAATGTCATCATTATTGTTTGAGCAGTTAAAAGTAGATAAACAAATAAATTAGTCTCTAATAAATAATTCAGGTCTCACTTGCTTTAATGCATCCAGAAAATTTTCAATAACTATAATATTTCAACAGGATTTCAGTGTCACAGTGGCTAAATAGATGTGTTGACTCAGAGGTCTGTGGTTCAAACTCATTGCATAATGAAAAACATAGTATTCTGTTTCCTTGAACAGTGCAGCCTTGGAAACCCTACAAGGATATTCTACTAAGTCTGTAAGATCTCTTTCTCATTCTGGAGAGGTCTGGGACAACATATTTTCCCAGTGCAATTTATCTTTTGACTTTCTAACTGCTGGCTCCAAAAGAGTTGATTGTGGAGCCAAACAAGTAATATGGAACTTTCTAAAAAGAAAATCTTTATCCACAATCAAAAATTTCTCCTACAGGTTATAAAAGGAAGCCACAGATTGGTAAAAAAAAATATTTGGCAATGTCATATCTAATAAGGAACTCATATAGAAAATGTATCGAATACTCCAGCATCTCAGATGTATAACAAATCTGAGATCACTTGCTATGGCTATGCATCTGAGAGCTGAACAAAGAGTAATAATGACCAAAGAAGGATTGATACTTTTGTGTTGTGATGTTGGAGAAAAGTTATGAATATCCTATGGTCTGCCAAAAGAACACATAGATATGTCTTAGAAAAAGTGCAGTCAGAGTGCTCTTTGGAGGCAAATATGGCAAAGCTTCCTTTCTCATACTTTCAACAGGTTGCCAGGAGAAGATATTCTTGGAAAGGGACATGATGCTTGGAAAGGTGGAAGATCAGTGAAAGAGGGGAAGACCTTCATCTAGATAGATTGAACACTGGCTGCAACAGTGGGCTCATGTGTGTCAGAGATAATGAGGATAGCAAAGGATAGGATTGGATTTAGGTCTTTTGTTCTTCGTATCAGTATGTTTTGTACCCAACTTGATGACACGTAACAGCAACCAGCATCTCAACAAGAAAAAGACAAACAACCCAATTACAAAATGGGCGAAAGATTTAAATTGACACTTCACCAAAGAAGAAAGTCAGATGGCAAAAAAAAAAAAAAACACACATAAAGAAATATTTAAAAAATCCTAGTTATTAAACAGATGCAAATCAAAACAACAATGAGATATCACTTCACTCCAGCAATAGTAAAGTTTAAGAGGATAGCAATCAAGTGCTGACATGGATATGGGGAGATTAGAACTTTCATACACTGCTGGTAGGGGTGTAAAAAAGTGTAACTAATGTAGAAGGCAGTCTGACACGTCTTCAGAAAGTTGAAAATATAAATATCATTTGATCGAGCTGTCCCACTATTGGGAATATACTTTAAAGAAGCCAGAGCCAAGACATACACATGTGTATGCACATCCATCTTTATTGCAGCATTGTTAGTAGGTAAGACATGGAAACAGCCCAAATGCCCATCAAAAACAAAGTGATAGAAACACTGTGGTATATTCACACAACAGAATATTCCATAACATTGAAAAGTAATGAATTTATAACACATTAGACAACATGAATGTGTCTGGGACATTTTCCTGAGTCATATAGTCACAAAAGGATAAATATTGTAAAAGACAGACTATTGCAAAAGAATATTGCAGTTCTTATTTTATAAGAATAAGACAGACATGGAGTGAGGAGAACCAGAAAAGAATGATAGACTAGGTGAAGGAAAAACTAAATGAAACTTGTGGATGATACGACATTATATGTATATCATTAACCATCTAGAACAAGACTTGCATTACAAAGTGAATTGGAAGGGAGAGAAAGGAAACTATGCATTGATGAATGAGTGAAAAATATAACCTTTCTGTAAAAGTTCACTAAAATAGCAATAAATCCAAATCTCAAATGAAAAAAATCATGTTTATTTTTATTATGATGAGTTGTAGGACATTAATCTCTGTTTTGCACCAAGAAAACATTTGGACTGTGTGAATTTTCCCCATTAGAATATCAGTCAGTGAACACTGAGCATTTTTCACCAACAATGTACTGGCCAAGTAATGGATGCAAGTAGTGGACTGGGCAAAGTTATGATGGGAAAAGGAAATGTGCTTAAATATTTGTGTAGTTTACAGAACAGTCATATGATAAACTATAAAAGGGATCATCATAGGTTGTACAATTTGATGAGGGAGTGAGGGAAATTGGAAGAATCTGTTCTGAAAAACAATGTTTTCAAATTTTGTAAATAACCTAGTATAATAAAAAAATAAGAAAAAAAGAGATCGCTTTTTATTGAAGAATCAATATGTGCTCTCTACAGGGATTATAAAATACCCAATTGAATTACTGTAGGATATCTAAGAAAAATCTCTGTAAGAACACGACAGCTTGGAACACAGTGGCTGCAGCAGCTTGCCCAAGCATGGAAGCGACTATGGGGATGCACGGGACTGGCTGTTACTGCATTTTGTTGTGCATGGGATCCTTGTAAGTTGGTAATGACTCAACACCACCCAACCACAATGTTGACAAATACAAGGAAAATGGATCTAATTTGATTGCAATGTAAACTGGCTGAAATAGTATCGCATAATTTGTGTTAAGTGTAAACACCTTTACAAAATTTGAATCCACTGGATTCAAATTTTGTAAATAAACTAGTATAAAAAATCCTAGAATATCAATTTAAATTATATTTTATGGACAAGGGGAACCACTGAAAATGTTGAGCAAAAACATGTTATACATTCACAATATGCTAACTATGAAATGGGTTGAGTAAGGAGTGAGAATGCTGGCAAAGATAAGATTTAGAAAATTGCTTTGGTAAAGGCGTGCTGTGAAGTGTCACCAATTTGACTACAAGTCCAAGTGATCCTGTGAACAACAAGTCTCTTCTGTGCCATCCTCAGCCTCTGATATATGCAAGTCTATTGTTGTAGTCACTATGTAAATCCATATCCTTGAGATTCATTTTCTTATTCACTAACCCTCCTCCTTTCCCAGGCATGATGTCTTTTTTTTCCATGGAGAACTGGTCACTCTTGAAACTGGTCAAAAGTATGTGAGACCAGAATATGGCAAAGAAAGGCTTAGAGGAAGTAATAAATCCTGAATTGCTATATTTTCATAGTTTTCTTTTTCTACAGCATTGATTAGTGAATTTTATCAACATAATATACGTGAAACTTTTATTACAAACTAAAGTGATTTATTTTAAATTTCCATTTCAGATCTTTCATTACTCATATACTGCTTCATATGTGATTTACAACATTCACACTAGGTAAGTTATTTGATTTTTCTCCTTTTTTGAGAACCATTCTCCAACCTAATTTTCAGTTGTGAATTCATTCATGCCAACATTTACTTTGTTTTTCAAGGGAAGTTTGGGAGTTAAATCCCCCAGAAGTAGATGACTCTGTCCTGCAGTATGCAGCTTGGGGAGTACAAGGCCAGCAGCTGGTAAGCACTGGCATTTAGTGCCACCCAGTAATGTGAGCCCAGGCCTGTGACAGATACTTACCTTGCAACATTGCTGTGCTGTATTTGATTTTCTTCTCAGAGTACCTTACTGCCTTTAATTTACTGGTCTTAGTTAAGAATATATCGAATTATACGAGTATTGTTTCAAATTCACTTAAAGGAAAGAGTTAAAATATGTGTGATTAATATGCTAGACAACAATGAAATCTATAACAAAACTCAGTAATAAAGGAACTTAAAAATTCCCCAAAACACACCTACTGCTGTCAACTCTATTCTGAAACATAAGAACCCTCCATCTGGTTTCTAGGGTGTAAATCTTGACGGGAAGAAACTCTTTCTCCAACAGAACAGCTGGTGACTTTGAACTACCAATCTTTAGATTAGGAGCTCAGCACACGATGCACCAGACCACGAGAGTTCCTTAATACTAGGGCAAAATGAGGTGAAATTGATTTTATTAGGAATATTTTCTATTTCTTTGGTCCTAATGAGCTTGAAAAAAAAAATTCCTGTGTTTACTGGAGGGGGTGCATTTATTGGTAGTTTAGTGCTAAGAACCTAAACAGCCATTGAATGCAAAGGTATGTTGTTGAAATCCTCCAACTGCTCTCTGGGGAAAAGATGGGCAGTCTCCTCCTGTACAATTTACTGCCTCTGAAAACCAGCTGATCAGTTGCTGCTCAGTTCCAACCCAATAGCATGCAACAACAGCATAAATGAAACACATATTAATGTCTTTTTCCCAGTTCTTTTCACACTTTATCCCTATTTTCAGTTAAAAAATAATTCTTCATATATTTTGCATAATGATGCTTTGGTAGATGTATCTTTATGCAGTTTTACCTTGACATTTTATTCATTGATTTTACTCTTGTTAAGTGCAAACAGAAAAACATATGAAAGCCAAAATTGAAATCTTATGTACCTTATTCCAAGTTGATATTTGTAATGCTAGTACTTTGATCTATAGGTCAATTGTGGGATTTTATCATCATATGTCTTCAGTTCTTAGATTTCAATAACTTCGATGTAACGAGTTATTTTAAATGCTGACTTTTTGGTGTTTTTGTGTGGACTGGTTATTTCCTTTCTTTTCTCTTACAGGAATATACACTAACTATCCTTTGGTGTGCATGTGTATGTTGTTGTTGTTGTTGTTATGTACCATCAAGTTCCTTGTGACTCATAGCGGCCCTATGTACAATAGCCCTAAACCCTGCTCTGCTGTGCCAATCACACTGCCTCTGACACATCCACACCGATTACCTCAGTCACTGAATCAATCCACTTCATAGAGGGTCTTCCCCTCTTGCGCTGTCCCTCCATTCTCCCAAGCATGATGTCCCTCTCCAAGGACTTGTCCCTTCTTGTGACATGTCCAAATTATGTCAGATGAAGCCCTAGAATCCTTGTCTCCAAGGAGCAGCCTGGTTTAACCCTGCCCAGGGTGAATCTGTTTGTTTTCTTGGCAGTCCATGGTACACTCAATACTCTTCTCCAGCACCACAGGTCAAAGGCATAAATTCTCCTTCTATCCTCCCTAGTTATTGTCCAACTCTCTGATGCATAACAAGTGATTGCAAAGACCATGGCCTGTATCAGATGCACCTTAGTCTCCAGAGTGACACGGTTGCTCTCTTCAGTACTCTGGAGAAGTCCCTAACAGGAGACTCTCCCATTGCAGTACATGTTTTTGATTTCCTGGCTACTGGTGCCAAGAGTGTTGACTGTGGAGCCAAGCAGACTAAAGTTGTTAAAAATCTCAATCTCTTCATTATCCATCCTGATGCTGCCAATTGGTCCAGTGATGAGAATCTTTGCCTTCTTGACATTGAGCTTCAATCCATACTGAAGGCTGCAGTCCTTGACCCTCTGCAGCAAAATTTCAGGTCCTCCTCAGTTTCAGCAAGCAGGGTTGTGTCATCTGCATAACGCAGATTGTTAATAGGTCTTCCACCAATCATGATGCCACACTTCTCATCATAGAGCACAGCCTCTCAGATAATCTGTTCTGCATACTGGTTGAAAACGTATGGAGATAGAACACGTACCTGGCGTACACCTTTCCCAATTTTGAAACAAGCAATATTTCCCTGCTCTGTTCTGACGACTGCCTCTTGGTCCAAGTATAGGTTTCTCATTAGAATGATCAAGTGTCTGGGATTCCCATTCTTCTCGGAGTCAGCCACAGTTCCACACAGTCAAATGCCTTTCCATAATCAATGAAACATAAATAGACATTCTTCTGGTATTCCCTGCTTTCAGCTAAGATCCATCTAACATCAGCTACAATATCCCTAGTACCATGACCCTTTCTAAAACCAGGATGGACTTCTGGTAGTTCTCTGCTGATGTGCTGTTCCAGTCGATTTTGGATCATCTTCAGTAGAATCTTGCTAGCACGTAAAATTAATGATATTGTTCTATACTTTCCACACTCTGTTGGGTCACACTTGTTTGGGATGGGAACAAATATAGATCTCTTCCAGTCAGTTGGCCAAGTTCTGTTCTCCAGATTTATTGGCACAACTTGGTGGGCACATTCAGGGCAGCATATTAGCTGAAATATTCCTGGGGCCTTATTTTTTGCTATTTCCTTCAAAGAAGCTTGAACTTCTTCTTTCATCACCATAGGCTCTTGCTCATATGTTATTTCATT